CACCAGTTTGCCATTGTTGCCAGAAATGACAGAGTTGTAATTCCATTGGAAGATGAGAGCCTAACCTGTGCCTTGGATAAACTCTTCAAGTTTTACTGGGTCTTCAACCTTGTGTATCCTGCCCAGCTGACATCAGTTTTCATCTTTCTGGAGTATGTATATGACCTACCAATGTCTAAGATTGCAAGGCGATCTAAAGTCTTGGAGCTCATTAGCAAGCTTCAGGTTTTATCTTAAATCAGCTCGTCATGTACTCTTGTCCAGTATGCAAAATGTCAGTGAGTTCTGAGATTAGGCGACTTCGCTGGCATCTTCGGGCTGTACATTCCCTATCTGATGGACAGGACTACACCACAATTTGCGGCCAAAATGGCTGTCAACGGACATACCATAACATCAACTCCTATTCTAAGCATCTTGCAAGAGAACATTCAACACAGGAAAGCTTACTAAATGTTTCTTCTCAGTTTTCCGAAACATATGTCAGACAACTGTACTTTGGAGAAGTTGTTCATTTATTTCCAAAGGTGGACAGAAACATGGTGTTAGCTTTTGTAAAGAAAGTTATTGTTAAATATTTTGATGATCATCTTTACTCATATGCTGTGGAAAAAAGTGAAGAGTACAGACTTGCACAAATTCCGAATGATTTGTCAGATTCCCGTCCCCATGACATTCAGTCAGGTTTTTCATCTGATCAACTTTACATCAGTCCGAGATACATCATTTTAAATAAATGAAATGTTTAGTTATGTAATTTTGCCTGTGCGTTTTAAAATGGTTTTGTCCTATGCTGGACATGTTTTACTAAAATCCTGTACATTTTCTTGAAATTCTCATTTCTTTTATGACAATTTTGTATTAATTTTTGAAAATTCTCATATTAAATGTCTTGATCATATATTGTGTATTTTATTTTTTCACATTTTAAGTAACACTTATTGTGTAGGTTTTAGGTACTTTTTGACACAATATGAGTAACCAAGAACAGCACATTTTGTGTTAACATTACACATGTTTACACATCTTTATGTTACCTTAATTGACACTTTCACCGTGTCAAAAGTGTCAACACAGTAAATGTGTTAAAATTAACACAAGACGTGTTGTCCCAAAACTCACCCATTAATGTGTAAGAATTTAATACAGTTTGTGTCAATTTTAACACATCCTTTCTAAGAGTGTAGAAGCACTGCAGAGGCAAAGACATGCTCTGGCGATGCTGCAGAGGCAAAGGTGGGCTCTGACGGCTCGGAAGGGGCATCCCCCTCTAGTAATTACCTGTTACATGTTACTATTACATTTAAGGAACTTCAGGGGGTTATATTGGATGGATCTTCTACAGACATTTGCAAAAGAATGGATCACTCTCAGGATCTCAGTGAATTCAAGCATGAAATTTCCTTGCTACTAAATATTCCACGGTCAACTGTTAGCGGTATTATAATAAAGTGGAAGCAACTGAGGGGTTAATTATACAACAATGAGGGGTAATTTTACAATAATCCAAATACTAATTTACTAATGTCTAATAACACAGTGTCTAATATAATGCAGACACTAGAAATGGGAAGTGATACTAGGCCTGCAGGATGGGGTGATCTCACTCCATGAAGTTGGGAGAAATCAGGAACTGATAGCAAGAGAACAGGTCAAGATGACCTCGTGCCAGAGAACAGGTCAAGATGACCTCGTACCAGACACCAGGAAGACAGGAACCCATCACGTAACCAATACTTCTTCTAACTTTTGCATAACATAAAGGGGGGGGGGGAAACATGTACTCACTGGCTAACTAGAACAAATGTCGAAATATGTTGTAGTCACGTAGATGGAAAAGTACAGAAAAAGGGGGGGGCACACCCCAAAAGGCCTATAAAGACCCAGAGCCGACATCTATGGTTCGAGCTTCTTTCTGTACATGCTGAATGTATGTCAGATGGTCGCTCCCTGATTATAATCTGAATAGATAATAAACTGGTGACTTGCAACAACTCCTCGACTGTGCTGTGAATTTCTTCTCATCAACGGACCCGGCGGAGTTCGACTCCAACACAACTCAGCCACGAAGTGTTAGGGGACAACACATGCTGAGGCGCACAGTGTGCAGAAGTCGACCAACTGTTTGCAGAGTCAATAACTACAGACCACCAACCTTCATGTGGCTCAAGAATGGTGCGTACAGAACTTCATGGAAAGGGGTTCCATAGCCAGGCAGCTGCATCCAAGCCTTACATCACCAAGTGCAACGCAAAGTGTCAGATGCAGTGGTGTAAAGCACGCCACCAATGGACGTCACCAGTGGAGACATGTTCTCTGGAGTCACGAATCACGCTTCTCTGTCTGGCAATCTGATGGATGAGTATGGGTATTACAGGTTGCAAGGAGAACGGTACTTGCCTGACTGCATTGTGACAAGTGTAATGTTTGGTGGAGGGAGGATTTTGGTGTGGGGTTGTTTTTCGGGGGTTGGGCTGGTTTAGTCCCTATGTTCCAGTGAAAGTAACTCTTAATGCTGCAGCATTCCAAGCCATTTTGGAGAATTTCATGCTCCCGACTTTGTAGGAACAGTTTGGGGATGGCCCCTTCCTGTTCCAACATGACTGCACACTAGTGCACAAAGCAAGGTCTGTTAGGACATGGGTGAGCGAGTCTGGTGTGGAGGAACTTGACTGGCCTGCACAGACCCCTGACCTCAACCAAATAAAACGCCTCTGGGATGAATTAGAGTGGGGACTGCAGGGCTTGTCCTTTGAAAAATGCAGGCGCACACAAATTTGTGCACCTAAAAAGTGCTAGGTGCACAATTTTTTTTGTGCACCCTAAAAGTGCTAGGTGCACAATTTTACCTTTTTTGTGCGCCTAAAATGTGGTTGGACTTTGTGCAATGGGTCAAAATCCAAAAAGTCCTAGTGTTAGTTGTTTTATCCTAGTTTTAATGCTTTAACATATTTTGTAGAAACCCATTTAAAGTGAATCACTTTTTATTGGTGAATAAAATTTGCAATTCAGAATTCAGTCTTTTTTGCATCAATACTTTGGAGATTGTCCT